AAAAAAAAAAAAAAAAAAAAAAAAAAAAAGACTAAAACAAAAGGTAAGAAGCATACACAATTTCCAAGAATGTTTCAGAACACTCACTTTTTTCCTGGAAACCAGCATGTCAGGACCCCAGCACTAACACTGGGTTTTATAGGAAGCCCTTTAGGTGAATACACAAACTGCAGGGAAGATCTGTAGCCTGGCAACTCAAGCCAACAAAGAGGCCATCTACTGGCAGGCACACGGGCTGCTCAGAGAAACGGAGAGACGAGCACACAGAGCAAGAAAGCCTTTACCTCCTCTCTTATCAGGGTGAGCACGGCAGTCTTGTCCGATTCACTCAGGCAGATTCCATCCAGGGGGCTCTCACTGCCACAGGCCACAGACACAGGGGCCTTCTCTGAGGACACGCGGAGTCCCTGTGTGTGGGCGGGTCACACTGATTACACTCAGTCCTCAGCTACCTCGCCTCCAAATCCTTCACTAACTTCCTTATTATGAAACTTATCACACTCTTAAAACATGCTTTGTAGAAAAAAACAAAACAAGCAATAAAAAATAATCTAGTTAGAGGACCACTAAGAAAAATTGTTCTAATGACTATTAGGCTAGCTAGCCTTGAGTTTGCTCAACAGATAACCTGGACAAGTTTTCTTCTTATCCAAAAGGAAGAAATGGTGATTATCAAGTGGTAGTCACAAAAGACAAGCATGAAAGAGACACATTTCAGGGCTCATTTTTTCTGAGGGTTTCTTGGAGTGATGTGCTTCACACAAATAATTTTTCAAAAACAGTGACGGCTGTTCTCTCTACCTACGGATATTTGCACGTGTCTTCACTTAGCCACTTTGGGTGGAAATGTTTCTAATTTCCAGGGTGAAGCTCTGCAGGGTGTCCTGCTCTGACCTAGCGATACTGTTGGGAGCACCCCATGACTTGCCATGTACACAGTGGTCTCATGTGAGTCAAGTCTTGTGCCTGGTTTGTTTTGTTCTTTGCCATTATGTTTTCAGCTACTTTTGGGTAGTATTCATCTTCTGAGGTACCAGTTCGATTCTACAATAAACTTAGCTCTAGAGAGCCACGGTAGAGGTTAGCTTTTGGTTTTTCACATGGACATGGAACTTGTACTACTTTCCTTCCCAAAGGCATTTGTCTTAGTCACTTTTCGCGTTGCTGAGACAAAACACCCAAAGCACGTATGTTAAGGAGGAAAGGGCTCATCTGGCTCATTCATCGTGTGCAGAGGTTTCAGTCCGAAGTGGGCCAGCTCCAAGGCAGGGTGGCGCCGCAGCGGAGAAACAGTTCACGGCAGGACAGGCAGAGGGCAGCAAAGCAGTAAACGCTGGTAGAGCCCTCTCAGTCACTCACAGTCTAGCGAGGCTACAGACAGGGTGGGCCTTCCCGCCATCACACCCAGAACTGTGCAAACCGCTCAGTGGGCTCATTCAGAGTCCCACGTCCTTGACCCCAGCACCACACACTCTAGACCCAGCCACCTCTAAAAAGCCCCACCTATAACCGAATGCCAGCCAAAGTGACTCGGGGACAATTGTAATAACCTTAAATGTGATGAAAACTTAATCACAAATACTTATTAAATATGATTACAACTATAATTACTTATAACTTTATAAGCAATCCATTCTTTAGTGTCTTTTTTTGTTGTTTTCAGGTCCCATGTATCTTGTTTGAACCATGATTAAACAAAGTCCAACACAGATCAGTGACTTTTAAACTTTTCTAGGTCATCATAACCTCACCCTCTCTTTCTAAATGTTCAAAAACACACGAGTAATTCAGTAGACAGCTCCATAGACCTCAGCCACAGACCCAAGAAAGAAACTTGTCTTAAGCCACAGAAAAGGGAAATACAAAAGCCACAAGCTAGCAGCACCCTTCCTCCCGCAGACGTTGGGGGTGGGCAGCCCTCCACACTGACACAAGCCTAAGGTCCCAGAACCTCTTTCCATATTGGGGTATATCTATCGCAGGAACCAGGGGGACTGCAGCAGGAGCCTTCACCATGGCTCTGCAGCTCACCAGCCCTAGTACAAACCCTCTGTGTACCTCCTCCCTTTGGGTGAGGCCGGACTTCAGTGACTCAGTAGGATATGCGAGCAGTCCTGCATGCCACTTCTGACATTAACTTACAGAAAGACTGTGGCTTCCGAGTTTGGGGAGGTTCTATAGAAAGGCCCATATAAGAAGAAACTATAGTCTCTGACAACCACCATGTGAATGAACTTAAAAATGAAAGCACCCCCAAGTCACACTCAGAGATGATCACAGCCGAGTGATAACTGCAGTCACAAGAGAAAAGTCAGAGCATACAGCAAGGCCACTTTAGGATTCCTAACCCACAGAAACAAGGAGACAGTAAAGTTTGCTGTTTTAAGACACTGAGTTTTGGATCAATTTGTTAGGTACCCAAACACAACCCCTGGACTTGGGGATCATCTCATTAACTTCCTGTGCTTTGTTTTTTGAGACAGGGTCTCTCAATGCAGTTTAGGCTGGCCTAAAACTCACAGCAATCCTTCTGCCTCAGCCTCTCTAGTGCTGGGATTACAGGCTCGCGCCACCACACCTACAGTGGGATCAGATGACCCCGGCTCTCAAGAAAACGGAGGATCATATGTTTCTCAGCAAAAGTAATTCTGTCTGGAAACAAATGTCACTAATGTGTGAGAGCTCTCTGAGGACAATGAATTCTGCGTGTTATGTGTATGTTCTTCCTTTTCACTTCCTGCCCCTGCGTCTAAGGCTTCCGTGCACCCAGTCCTAAGAGGTCAGGCATCTCATTCTGTATTCTCCAGGGAACATACTGTGGGTCACAGGCCAACCACAAATCAGGAAAACAATTTAGTGGCACAGATGCTCTCCACTGAGAAAATAAAAAGGAAAGAAAACAGAAAAGGAAGCATCACAGTGAATGACCCAAAGAAAGGCTGATGATCATGCAACTGGTTTTTATACAGCTATGTACGCTGTGGACGTGGCATGCAAGTAGTGGTCACACCTGAAGTCTGTTTCTAGTGCGGTCGAGGTAAAGAGCTTCGATTCTAATTTCACCACCTGTTATAGCTTATGTCTAGATGTCTCTCCAAAGCTTCATGCAGTCATAGGTGGCTGGAGCTAAGGTGGGTTACATCTAAGGTATGGGCGAAGGGTGTGACACTGGAATTAATGAGTCCGGCGTCTGATTTATTATGGTTCTGGATGTGGATGGCACCACCCAAAAGGCTTATAGTCTGGATGGGATAAAAAGAAAAGGGAGGCTTGCTGCTATTTCTGCTGCCTTCTCCTTACCCTGCATGGACTGTTTCTCCTCTATGATGCCCCTCTGCCATGCCGCCCGGCCTTGGAGCCAGCTGACTCTGGACTGAAACCTCTACACACTGTGAGCTAAAATAAACTTTCCCTCTTTTGTGGGTGTCAGGTATTTTGTCTCAGCAACAAGAAAGTAACTATGACACTACCTCACAGCCACCAACTGACACCTATGTGTCCAGGGCCTGCAAAGATATTAAACACAACTCAAAGCTTTCCTGGGCTCAAGGTATATGCTTACGATTGCCCACTAGCCAAGTGGGCTGAGAAACTGACCCGACTGGTCCCTCAAAGCCACATTTCTAAAGATGAACTCCACAATTCTGCCTTTCCTTCTGCATTCCTCACTTACCAAATCCTTATTGTCAACATATTTATGGTGGTGGGCGCGGAAGTGTGGCAGCCAATAAGACAGTAATGGTCCCTATCTTCACTATTTTTAGTCTCATAGCGAATGACTAAAAGCAACAGGCTCATGGAGCTAAGAGGAAATCCTGCATGTGTACATAAGTGTCAGGTGAGTGAGGGAGGAGAGATTGTCCTGCTGCAGAAAGCCGTGGTGGCCACAAGAAGAGGCTACACCTGTCCTTGAGACGAGGGAAGGCAATGAAGCGATTTAAGCGAGAAGTAACAAGATCAGTCGTGTGTTTGAAATGAATCACTCTGCCTTATGTCACGGGGACAGCCTGGAAACAGGAAGACTAGCTTACAAACCGTCAGCCCTTTAAAAAGACCAGTAGGGCCATGGACTCCAGAAAAACAGATGAATGTGAAATTAGTTCTGGCTGTACAAGCCTTGAACTTGCCTGTGGGAATAAGGAATAAAAGAAGAAAAGAGGACCCCAGGCTCACGGCTTAGAAAGCTAGGTGGGCAGCCGTTACAACGAGGCCCTGGCAATAACGACTACCCAGATTTCAGGCAGAAACTGAGTTTCACACCCCACCCCACCCCACCCCACTCCCGTCCACTAGGTGTATCACTGCGGTCACAAGGCAGTGACGGCACCGCCTGTTAAATCTCTTCAGCCTCCATTCCATCCTCTGAACCATAATCAATCACAGTGCTCCCTAAAACCCTACAACAGGTTACCTACCAATTCTGCCATGAACCCCAAACCTCCTGGCAATGTATCTCTGGGCCCTTGCCTTCCATATGCACAGTATCCTCCAATCACATTAGAGTATTAATAATTGTAATTCTCTCTCAAATCTATGCGTTTTCTCTCTCCATTTTTTGTTTTGTTTTTTCAGTAGCAGGGATCAAACTCAGGACCTTGTGCTGGCAAGGCAGGCACGGCGCCACTGAGCTGCATCCCCAGCCCTCTCTCACTCCCTGTTTTTGCATGGCCACCTGACCTGCCTGGAACACCCCATTCTCCTTTTAGGACTTGCTCAAATGAAGAAACTTTAACCACTTTTGTAACCACCTTAATCAGGTGATTAAAGTCACAGCTACCAAACAAGGGGACACACTGATGCTCACGTTGTCGTTTCAGCTGTATCTGTGCTGAAAATGAATGAACTACATTTATAGTAGAGAAACGTTAGAGGAGCACCAATTGAGAAACATTCTCCAAAATAATTAGCTAGCACTCCTGAAAACAGTCACGGTCATCCAAGACGAAGAAAGACTGGGGAGGCACTGCAGATCAGAGACACAGGGTCTTAGAACCAAATGCAATGGGGGCTGTGTCTGTGGGACAAACGTGAGTAAGGTGTACCCAGGAGACAGAAAGCACTGCACGGGTGCTGAACGCATTAGTGACTTGTACAGTGTTAGCATCTGAGTAATACGGGCACAGCATAGACAGGAATTCTTTGTACCATTTTTATAAGTCTAACACTAGTTGAAGATTTTGTTTTTAATTAGCTCAGATTCAGCCTGATATTTGTGCAATTGTGCACAATTATCCTAGCACCTGCCATGCAGTCAGCCAACCTTGGCTCCCATGGCCCTGGAACACATTCCATTACAACAGTCACTCCAGGGTCCTGTTGGTTTGCATTTTGAATCACCTGCCAGTACTGCTTAACAGAAATACACTGGAAGGCATCTGTAAGTTTTAGTTTGCTAGTAGCACAATAACAGAGTAAAAAGAAATGGGCAAAACTAATTTTAATAATATAGTTAGCCAAACATAATGCAAATATTACCCATGTAGTCAGTAATAAAAAGTCATTGAGACATTTAATATTCCCCTTTTCTTTTTCCTGGAACCAGAGATTGAACGCAGGACCCTGCACTTGCCAGACAGGTGCTGGCATCACTGAGCTCAATCTCCAGCCCTAATATTTCCTTCTTGAGGGGGTATGAAGTCTTCAAATACTGGTTGTATCCCAAGCATACAGGGCATCTCAATCCAGCTCAAGTGCTCAACAGCCAAATGTGGCCACGTAGCTACTGTACAAAACATATGTATAAACTATGGGTTCCTCAAGAGAAGGAACTAAGTTACATATATGCATTACCAACACTGAGTAAAACGTCCCATGGGCTTCCCAACAAATACTGAAGAGACCCTGAGCTCCACACCAGCCCCCAAGGTCAGGAACTTACAAGCACAGCAGACTCCTCTTTGTCCATCTTCTGGCACGTCTCGTTCTCTGTATCTAAAACACAAAATTGTTTTCATAGCTATCCCCGGACAGCAGTTCCTTTCCCTCCTAGCAAAGACTCGTGGCTGCCCTGTGCGGCCCAAGATGACTATGAACACACCGGAAGCGTTTCAGGACTTTCAAGGGAGCTGTGTTCGCTGGGTTCTAGTGTCAGAGCCCCCTGACCTTCAGAGAAAGAGGAATGCACAGTCAGCCATCAATCTGCAAGCAGAAAGAGCGGCAGGGCTGCCCTCGTGTCCACTGAAAGTTTGGTGAATGAGTTGTACTAACCATGGAATTGTTTCAGAAAGAGGAAATTATAACACTGAATGCTATTTACTACTGAGTCTGAGTGAATCTAAATGGTAGCCCAAAAGGACACCCTCAACCTAGTTAATGTAACAGATAAAGTAATAAGCTTTAAATTTCAAGCTAACAAAACTCCTATCCTCTCTATGCCTTTCTAATTGGTTTCCTTGTGTCAGGTTTACCTTTCACTCTGCCTCCAAAGGTGACGTTAAAACAAAAACCAAAACTAGATTATGTCCTCAATGCAGAAAATCTAGATATAGCAAAGCATACAAAATGTAAAATTACACTCTCCCACGTAAGCATAAGTATTATTTTATTCAATCCTTGATTATTTAAACCACAGAGTGACTAATCACTCCCATTCGCAAAACCCTTCCAAAGCCTCCCCTGATCTATCAGATCAACCCCAATTCCTTGCTACAGGCTTGTTTCCCACATGCCTTGTACTCACAGAAAGCTAACAGGCACTTTACCAACAGGGCAGGGTCCCTCCCGCTGCTCCATTTCCTGAAGAACATCTCTGTACAGGTCCATACAGATCCACCACCACAGTGGCTCTCCAGCCAACAGTCCTTGATTCTTCCAGTAGCCACCCACCCTGCCCCAACCGCCAAGGTCTCTGCTTGCCTCTTAGATAAAGCTCATCCGTTACAAGGTAACAGCTTGTGTAAATCTGTTCCTCTTTTCCAAAGTCAGCCAGCCAGCTTGCTGACTGAGAATAGCACAGTATATAATAAAGCCCTAGCTCTCTCTACGTGTAAATCCTCGTTCAAGGAATTTTCTCCAGTGAGGAAGAATATAACTCAATAAATATTTACCATGTACTTGTATCAAAGAAAATTCCAAGATGCACCTCCCACAGGCCCTAATTTTGAAACATTTATAACATTTCCTCTTCCACAATAAATACACTGTGCTAGGTACTATGGAATGTGAAGGTCAGCAAGAAATGAGGTGGGAACACGGCTCAGTGGGACCCAAGAAACATTCAAGATAGACCTGGAAGGATGGGCAGAACTTTTGGAGAAGATGGCAAAAAAAAAAAAAATTCAGATACAGACTTTAAAAAGGAGGCCTAAGAGTACAGTACTCAGGATTAAGCCAGGTATAGTGGTACAGATCTGTAATCCTAGTACTTGGAGGCTAAGGCAAGAGGATGACAAGTTCCAGGCCAGCAGCATGAGCCACACAGTGAGACCATGGTGGGGCATGGGGTACAAAGGGTACCAATCAGAATGGTGACAGCGCCTTCCTTCAGGAAGAAATTAAGAGGGCTGGGGATTTAGCTCAGTGGTTCTGCCACCTGCCTCACAAGCACAAGGTCCTGAGTTCAATCCCCAGTACCAAAAAAAAGAGAAAGAAATTAAGAACTTTACTGCAGTAAAGTGTTAATCTATATACAGCATTTATAACAGCAATTGTACACTGTAAGGCTCTATACATGTTAGCTGTTAAACATTACAAAAAAACCTAAATTCATGGCATTTATAGGCCACTATACTTTACAATCTGCCCATATTAACATAAAACTATAGAGAAATTCAAGAACTATAGCATCCATCAGAGTCTCCCAGACAGCCTGCTATACTTATCCATATATGTGTAGCATTTCAATAAAGCTTTTTGGGGGGAGGTTCTCTTTTCTAAATAAAGAAGCAAAGCACAGATCAGCCATCTGAAAGCTATCCCCTAAGTGATTCAATTCTCTAATCTCTCTAGAGGTTGCACCTCCTGCTTCAGGGTGTCAGGCATTCCTATGCTTATGAGACGAAGGAGATGAAGATACGCTTCCGTACCTGCTTCTGAGGATGAGAGCGCATGATTTATGGTAGACACGGGAACATTGGAACATTCAAAGTACTCCAGGTCTTCCTCTGGCTCACCTTTCACTGCGGCGCCAGCTGATTTCTGAACACATGACGTGGATGCCAATTTCTCCTCGTCAGTAGCATGGCCATCCCTATTAGAAAGGTCTGAAATCTGGGAGATCACTGCTCCTTCATCCTGGGAATTTGACACAAATCATTGTCCGTTGGGGTACAAACAGCGAGGAAACATGACATTTCAGAAAATGAATGAAGCCACATTCCACACAAATATTTGTCTTTAAGGGCCTTCCCAGATGGTTTTAGGGCATTAAGGATGTAAAAATTGGTTTCCTTAAAGCTGAGTACTCAGACACTCACGCTGCAATACCCCTAGAGGATGCAAACTCCAGCTGGGATCACTGGTCGGCCTGGTGACAGACACAAACTTACCTGAGAACAAGTTTCCAAAGCAAGAGACTGACTTTCATATTTCTTCACCTTACAGCCACTCCTAGAAAAAGAAAACACAAACAAGCCAGTTTGGAACCACAGTGACAACTTTCAGGGAATGAAGACGGAGCAGAGCGCAGCGTATGCAGGTAGAAGCCAAAGCATACGACAGCCCACAAAGCAAACGCTGCACAGGAGAGGCACAGACACCTTCGCTGTCTCCCAGTCTCCTCTCAACAGACAAGACAAGCAAAGAATGAGGGCTAGGTTCACTGTCCAAAAAGACCACCTTGTTTGCCTCTGTGGATTATCAAACACCAATACTCTGACTCCTTCCACGTTTAATTACCCAGCACCAAAAGCCTTCCAATAGTACAGTACGCCCTTAGCAGTTAGAAAGGTTCCGTTCTGATCGTTAGTCACTTCACTTTGATGTTCATCAGAAAAATCATCACACTGGACCAGATTCTTTAAAAATTCTTTATTGCACTAAAAACCACAGAAGTCTCCTAAGACAGCTCCAGTCTAGACCTAAGTGTTTACAGAAAAGAATCGCAGTCAACAGAAGATAAGTAAAAGTAAAAGTAAACTGTTAACATTCTTACTAAGTAGTTCCAATTTTTTTTTAGTATATGTGCTGTAGGAGCGAGCAGAACCATTCTTATTAAGTAGTAGGGTGGGAAATGAACACCATGTACAAAGCCCAGAACTGCAGAAAACTTGGGAAAACTATCTGTTATTTTTAGACTAGATATCATTTGTGATCATAAGACTAATTATGAACTTAAGATTTCCAGTAATTGCTACTCTAACCAAAAAAAAAAAAATTATTTTCAACTTGCTTTTCTTTGGTGGAAAAAAAATTAAAAGACAAGCCCAAAGGTTATAAGAAATGCACAATCACTAGCTCATGGTCTCATTTCCTTAATACTGTTAGTAGGTGCCAACCTGTCACTAAACTCAAATTGATTTGGTAAAATTTATCAGCAAAATGTATCATCTGTTCCAAGCAGCATTATACTATTTTAAAAAAATCTAATCATTTTATTTCTTTTTTCTCCCCTAGTACCTGGGATCAAACTCAGGACCTTGTGCTTGTGAGGCAGGTGTGGTGCCACTGAGGTAAATCCCTGGCCCAAAAAATCTAATTATTTCCAACATTAAATAGCAGTGCAGTCCCTCAAACTTGATGATCTTGGGGCCAGAACAGCTCTTGGTATTCAAAATGCCACATGATGTGTGCCAAGCCAGGGAGTGCAAGCTTTTGTACCTAAGGTGGAAAGGAAGGACAATCTCCACTCCTTTAGGTACACACAATGCAAGGCTAAGCTGAGCTGGCTCAGGAGGTGTCAAATGAAATGCAAAAGAAATCGTCAGAAGATCGAACTCAAAAACAGAAGCCAGCATGCTATGGAGAGATAGTTGGGCAGGGGTGAGGCAGCAAAGTGCCAAGAGTCCCAGGGACAAACAGAAACAGCGAGAGTACTTACAACAGAAAACAGAGAAATTTCACTTGCTCAGTGGTCCTGATGCACCAACAAAATTAGAGACAAGAAAGAGACAGGCAGATGGAGAAAAAATTATGTAAAGACTAGAAATTTATCTTTAGCCCGGTAGATATAAAAGCTACACAGTTCCTTCTTTGAGGTGAGATGTAAATTTAAAATGTCACACTAATGAGTGTTAGCACTGGTGAATGGTTAACAGCACCCCGACTCTAATGGAGTAAGAGTGATTAAACACTCCGAAATGGCACATACGCACTTTGTAGAAGAAAAATACAGTCCTAAACATAAGAAAATGTATAAAAACAGTATCTCACTGCTGAACTAAACGTAAATAGTCTCTAATCTCTAGTCACTCAGATTAAAGGCAGTATATGAGTAAAAATATATTTGAAAAGATATTTGGTTATCCTTACAGTAGATGTACATTACTAAGCTTAAAATGATTTCGTATAATGTATCTTATTTGATGTGCAAAATCCCAATCATACTATGATTTCTCCATTTTACAGAAGAATCCAGAAGTCAATTACATACATCTTTCTGAATGCCATACAAAACTTCTAACTACAGTATCTACTAGATGCTGTCACCAAACATATTTTCAGTCTTTTCTACAAATGAAGGGTTCCGTTAACCAAGAACCTAGTGTTCCACAAGACATCTACCAACCCTTTCTTGAAGAAAAAAAGTTTTGTCTGTTTGTTTGAACCCAGGGCCTTCCCACAAGTGACATCTCCAGTCCTTTTTATTTATTTTAAATTTTGAGACAGGGCTCACTAAGCCACTAAATTGCCTGGACTTGAACTTAAATTCCCCTGCATCTGGCTCCTAAAACTGCGGGGATGGCAGACGCGAGCCACAACATCCAACAGGATAAGCATTTTGATTATGTAAGAAATTACAAGGTTTATTAGATCAAGAGGTTCAATTCACAGAAACAGAACAGAGGACAATGCTGCCAGGTGAGAACGGCACACTCTAGACAGAGCGCTTCTTGGTGCTGAATATACTGTCGCTTTCTCCCTTGTTGGCTGCTACCCCGCCTTCGTTGACGTGAATGCACTGGCTAACACCGAGAGTGCGCAGCTGGAAGGAAGACTCCCAAACGACTACTATGTATCAGCTGAGGTGGCAGAAGCAGCTCGTGTTTAGGAGAGGAAGTACCAAGGCAGTGCGGTGTCCCGTACATACTCTGTGTGCTGTCTAGACATAAGCACCTAACCTTAGGTTACCACAAGAGGACTGTGTGAACACCCAACTAAATATATATTTCAACAATCACTATCTGCTCCTACAGAGTCAGAGAACAGGATCAAGAGCCAGCACGATTAAGGAACTGGTACCCACACTGCTCAACCCTTACATCCTGAAACTAGTACTTCTGCTCCTTAAAGCTCTGGATAGTTTCTTCCCCGGTATAATTCACTGGCGTTTCTTCTAAGTCATCATAATGCTGAACAGTATTTCCAGAAACGACCACGTGATAACTGCAAATACCATACTTCTCATTTCCCTTTCCTGCATTTCATCCCTCGTGTCACTGGTCCTTCTTTATGTCTAATATTTAGTAAAATATTACAGTGTCACAGAGGGATACTTTTGTGACACGCTAATCCTGTAACACAGAGTTAAACTGAAAATAGAGTATGGCCTGAGGGGTCACTCAGGGAAATTTAAAAACTTGCAAAAATCATCCATGTTTCCCAGGAGAAATGAGGGGACAGAGGGTGCACACAATAAAAGACTGAGTTACTCAGGTTTAACTGATCATCGGTCTTGATACACAATGGAAATCTGCCTTCTTGCTAATGAACTAAAAACATACGTGAAGATAAGCATTCTCACCAACTTTTCACAGAAAATTTGTTTTCAAGAATAGCAACAACAAAAAAGCCATGGCTTTCTGTTTAGAAAAGCACTTATCTAAGATCCCTGTGGACCACTTCCACGTTACTGACACTAGACATGTCATTTGTAGGTTTGGAACTTTTTGTCTTATCCAAAAAGAATCTGAAGAGGGTGGCTAGCACTGACACTTGGATTCTGTACTCAGTGATTCCCAGCAAGAATTTCTGAAAACCATCAAATCTCTACCTGATTTTTTAAACAATGAAAGAGGTATTCAGGGTGGGAGGAAAACAGCATGGCTAAATGTGCTCAGGATTCCGAAATAACATAGCAATCTACAAAGGACACCTAATTACTTTTAACACCACACAAGAGTTAGGCAGAACAGTAAAGACTGCAGCATAAAAGCTTTGTTTGTGCCCCCACTGCACCTCAAAGATAAACGCAATTCACCAAAACCAGCAGCTGGCTGCCAGACCCACAGAGAATGCTACAGAGAACACAATGCCCAGCACCCGCTGTCACTCACGTTATTAAACGCGACTTTGACTTCCTGGGTGAGTCTAAGATTTCATTAACATGATTACCAGTAGAAGAACAAAAGTCACTGCTTGTTAAAGTCGTAGTTGGCTTAAAAGTATCCATGGATTCGTTGCAATTATCTGGGTCAAAATCATAGGAGCCCTTAGTGGAGAGGGGTGGGGAGCTCCGCGGAGAGGAGAGGCTCCCACGGGAACCAGAGCTGGGGTGATCCCACTGACCAGGCTCTAGCTTGGAAGATACCTGGGAGAGAGAGGCATCTCTAGCTGTCGGGTCTGCAGGCTGTTCTACACCTACTGGCCTATGGATACCATCTTTCTGTATCTTGGGAGTCAATTTGTTACCCGGTTTCCTGCCAAGTTTCCTTGGAAAGGCTTTCCTGGCCTCTACGTTTTCCATGTCTTCTGTGAAATCAAACTCAAGTTTGAGAGGTGAGTTCCTTGTCTCTTCTTGAGGCTCAATCCCTGTGTCATTGGAGTCACTAATGAGAGTGTCTGAAGCTTCATTAAGGCCAGGGGGACATCTCTGGCTCCTGTCACCTCCCAGCAGAGGACATGCATTCTCATCTAATTCTTCAGGGTTTGTCTGATAAGATACCCTGGCAAGAGGTCTGCCTTCTGCGGCAGTTTCCACCCCTGAGAATTCTCCCCCAGTTGCTTTCTTCCGGAAGGACACAGGCTTGGGCTTCCTCAGCTTGCTTCTGTTGGCCACAGGCTCTGGACAGGAACTTCTGGCCTGTAGGTCGCCTTCTGCAGACGCCTCGAGCGTAACCTTCAGGCTGCCTTCTGTCACTGCCTCCTCCAGGGTGGCTCCTGGCATGCTGGAGGGCAAAGCCTCGCCTGACACTGCAATTCCGTAGCCATGGGCTGCTTCCGTTCCGAGAGCTGCCCCGGTATCTGAGGAATTGTTGGTTTCTATGGAAAACGGCCTCACTACTGAAATCTTGCTGCTATCGTGACCAGGTTCTTCTTTGACATCCCTCACTGAGTGAGGATCAGTGGCTGTGTGCGGTACTCCATTTCCTGAAGATCCAGAACGAGTCTCAGGTGAGTGCTTGTCAACCACTTCTGCTTCTAGCTGTTCATTGGCTTGTAATTCTAAAACAAACAAACAAACAAAAAAGGCCATCTATTAAAGAAGTATCTTTCTAGCACTGATACTTTCTACTGCCTAAATTCACACACAAAAACAGTGAGTGCTTCCCTAGGCTCTCTAGGTTTGGCAAGGAAAACAGTATGGCCTAAAAGCTAACAGCTAAAATCAATTTCTCTAACCCAAGTTGTTTATGTGCATTACCCAACAATTATGGCAATACTACTGCTACTTAGGAAAAGGATAAGTAGTAGACCAAGGTCTATGCAAAGTGTACCGTGTGATGTCGAACATCCTGAAGGCTGAAACTGGTCTGGAAGAGTCTTTCAACTCAACTGCACCAAGGCACCTCCCAGAACCAGTGCAGCAGTTCCAGGGTTAAAATTTTATGACCCTGGAAGCAGATTTTTTTTTTCTAGTACAAAGGCTTGAACCAGGGCCTCAAACATGCTGGACAACAGTAGAAACACACCATCAAAACCTTAGGATGCAAATATCCACAAGTGTCTATGTGTGTCAGGCTCAGTTAAGAGCCTATCCAGTTGTATAAAATACACAGACTCAAAATAACCAAGATATATCATGCAAAGGTACAAATTCCCAATGGCGAAATGTCATCATATTGTATAGCTAAAATGTACCAATAAACTTAGTGAATTAAAAAAATAAATAAAATACACAGAATCTTTATTAAATCAAGGTATAGACTTATCATTTCTTAAGTTTTGGTGCTTAATCTCAGCCTATAAGATTTGACACAGGTGCTGTAATAAAAATATATATATTTCATCTTTGTCCTCAGTTCTTAGCCCAGAGCTCCTAAAACCCCTGGAATTTCCTAAGTGGTAAGTGTCTTCTGTACAGGCTTTATTGATTTGAGGGGCGTACCTAGATTACTTCAAGACAGAAGCTAGTTACCAAAATGATCAAACCAAGATTAAAGGGTTGGAACCTTCAGTGTTACCCTGGCCCCTTCCAGGGGGTGGAGAGCGGCTGGAGATTAGAATTCAACCACCAATGGCCAGCCAAGCTCAGGGGTACATGCTACTTGGGAGGCTGAGACGGGAGAATCACAACTTTCAGGCCAGCCTGGGCAACTTAGCAAGACTCTGTCTCAACATAAAATAAAAAGGGGTAAAGATATACCTCACAGGCAAAGCACCTGTCCAGCATTACAGGCCCTGGGTTCAACCCTTCGTACTAGGGGGAAAAAAATCTCCAATTGGCAATGACTTAATCAAGCCACATGATGGAACTTCTATAAAGCCTCTAATGACAAGGTTGGGAGCTTTCAGGCTGGTGAACACACCGACTCTGAGAGGTGATGCACCTGAAGAGGGCATGGAAGCTCTGTGCCTGTGCCCTATCCCTTGCTTGCCTTATACTCCTCTTCTATTTGGCTTCCCAAGTTGATCCTTATAATGAACCAGTAAATGTAAGGATTTTCCTGACCTCTGTGAGTCATTTTATCAAATCATGGTACCTAAGGAGGGGTTATGGAACCTCCAAAGTTAAAGCCGGTGGGTCACAAGTACACAATGGAATTTGTGATTGGTGTCTGAGGTAGGGCAGTCTCATGAGACTGAAGTCGTAGCTTATGAGATCTGGACTAACTTCCGAGAGTTTCAGAGCTGAAGTGACTTCCTGGACACCCAGTCAGTGTTGGAGAATCGAAGACTACATAAAACAGAACATTTGAAACAGTGAATATTTGATCGACATAGCCAGGAAAGTAGCTGAATGGTTTTTTTGTTTTGTTTTGTTTTGTTTTGTTTTGTTTTTGGTACCGGGGATTGAACTCGGGTCCTTGTGCTTGCAAGGCAGGCCGCCGAACCGCTGAGCTAAATCCCTGGCAAGCTGAATGTTTTTTAAATGACATTTTAAAATCAATATTTTATTTTGCATAAAAAACTCATGAGGAACCACTTCATGTATTATTTCTAAATTTTACATCTACAAAATTCAGAAATTAGATGAACTACTAGACATTGTTAAGCAATTCAACTTTATGACACAAATTTCCCATTTCTTTCAGACTTCTGCAACAGCTTAAGATATTCTCGCTGATTAACCTGAATTAAAAGGCACTAAATTAATTTTTAAAAAATCATTTGTTATTACCAGCATGTATATAACAAGGTTATCTCAATAACCTGTAACCTAAACGCTACTGAAACAAAACTAGATTTTAATTTCATCTTGATTTAGTTTGGTGTGTTTCAATCTCATAAATTGTTTCTAAAACTAATGCTTTGAATCCTTACAATTACAAACCTATCACCTTAGTCTGTTATATATTAGTGTCTGCATAATATTTTCTTTTAGGGGAAGGTTCCACGGCCTTATGATTTTGAAAACAATAGTTAAAGGGGACAGTTCATCTCGAAAGATGGTGAGATAGGTAGGAGGAGGTGTAAGAAAAGTAATGACAAGCCAGGTGTGGTGGCACACACCTACAATCCCAGCACTCAGGAGGCTGAGGCAGGAGGGTCGCTGAAAGTTCCAGGCCAGCCTGTGCTACATAGTGAGTTCAAGGCCAGCCTGAAATATAAGAGCCTGTCTCAATTTTTTAAAAGGGGGGAAGGGTAATGGAGGGGATGGGAAAACAGCTATAAATTTTATCATTAAAAGATGATGTTAACATGGACTTACTGAAGTGGAAAGGTGTCCACTGAGCTACATCCCAGCCTGGTTGTTTGGGGGTCTTTTTGGTACCGAGGATCGAACTTAGGACTTGGCACTTGCAAGGCAGGCATAGTGCCACTGAGCATTTTCCTGGCCCACTCCAGCCCTTTTTTATTTCAAACCCGGCTCTCACTACACTGCTAAATTTCTGAGGCTGGGCTCAAACTCACATCCTCCTGCCAACCAGAGTGCTGAGATCACAGGTATGCATCACCACACCCAGCTTGACAATCACACGTTAGAGAATTTCTGATTGCTTTTTATTTAGGTCGAGAAATTTAATGACAGGAAGTAAGATGCACTGAGGGCTTGTATGGGCTGGCCAATGGGCCACTAAGAGCTCCCCTGGATTGTTGTATTGAGTCTAGACAAAACTTAATATGTAAATCCAAGTCTGCCCAAATCCAGAGCCTGCCTGCTAAACCATCTCTTTAAAACTAGAATAAATACAGTAGCCCCTCACTATCCACAGGGAGTTTGTTCCATGACCCCCATAAGATGCCTGAAAACCCCACAGCACCAAAACCTGTAATGCAATGCCTGTTATCTTAACTAAGTGCTTACACACCATAGATGTCACTTTGGCAGTTTAAGGCCTAACAGCAAAACTAACATGCATTTCTTTTTCCTTTTTCACAAGTTCACAGATAGAAGATTGGTTCTTATTATAGATCTAACAGAGATCTAAGAATACTTCTTTTTCTTTCCGTAATTTGAGAACTTTTCCCTTGTCACTTAAAAGGAAGTCTTTAAAGGCTTCTCTCTGGCATATCTGAATAGCCAGCTTCACCCTCTTGTGCCTTGGGGTAAATAAGCAAAGGTAAGTAAATACCGGTGATTGCAAGTCCTGTCTGCAGTTAGTACCTGATAATCAATATAAAAACCCAGAGGACAAATGAGTAACTAGAGGGTAGATAACAAAGGAGTAGCTCATGAGGGTTGGGGATGTAGCTCAGTGCTGCCCAAACTCAAGGTCCTGAGTTCAATCCTCAGTACCTCCCCGCCAAGGAATGGCTCAGGAGAGTGGGGAAGCCCCAGATTTCAGCATTCTGTTCGGAACAGTATGCAATTTTAAACGTACAATTTATTTCTGGATTGCCCATTTGAAATTTTGGGCCATAGCTCACAGAAACTGAAACTGTGGAAAGTGAAACTGCAGACGGGTGGAGGGAACTATCGCTGGGATTGTGAATTCAGTTAGATTCTGAATTCAATCTTGAATTTCTAATGTTGAACAAAAATGAATGCTGTTGGGCTGGGGATTTAGCTCAGCGGTTCGGTGGCCTGCCGCGTTCAATCCTCGGTACCAAAAAAAACAAACAAAAAAAAAACAAACCAAAAATGAACGAATGCTGTTAGATGAATGTGGATGAAAATGCCTGTGTCAGAAGCCAGGCATAGTGGGACACACCCGAAATCCAAGCACTCGGGAGGGAGGCTGAGATGGGATCAGACAAGCTATACAGGGAGTTCAAAGCTGGGCTGGGCTACATAATGAGATCCTATGTCAAAAAATAAAAACCATACCAAACAAACAAACAAAAAGTTGTGACTATAAATAACTAGTCTAAGGTATTTAGTCTAGAAAACTAAGAAACATTATAGGGTCTTTGGATGCTTTGGGTTTTTGTTTTTTGTACCAGGGATTTAATTCGGGACCTTGAGCTAGTGAGGCAGGCACTGTACAGTGAGCTAAATCCAAGGTCTTCGGATATTTTAAGGTCTGCTTAAAGGAATTTGAATTATTGTTGCATTAGAAGATACAATTAGGATTATGTGCATGACTGTTAAGACTCCAACTCACCTCACAAAAGTAATTAATAGAACTAAGTAAAAATGTAATAAATGTGAAGAAACATCAGAACCCTATCCCTCAGAAATGGGAAAGAAGTGTTCAGGTCAAGGCCATCTAGGGATCTGCAGGATTTTTTTATTCTGTGCTTCTAGACTCCTAGGCACAAATAAAAAGCCATGACTCAATCAATTACAGAAAAAGTTAGAACTGGTGGTCAGAGGACCTGAGCAGTAACACTGGTTTTGTTGTTAATTAGCCCAGGGATTTTTCTATACGTCTTTTCTGCATTCTGGGTTCAGTTTCCTCACTGAGAAGAAATATTTCAGCTAAAAGTATTCTTGAGGGTCCTTTCCTTTTATAAGTTCAAGAACCCAGCTATTGAGGCCATCTACAACAGTTAAATGGTGAGACTCTTCACATTATAATCTGTAAATTTTTTCTGGATGGATCACCCACTCATTTCATTCATAGGTTCATTACATATTCAATGTATATAAGGTTTTCGTTTTAAAGTTTTGGGCTTTA